CAGAAATGCCTAAGCCAAAAAGAAAATATAAAAGGGAAAAACAACAATGACCAGAGGAAAGAAATGCGAGCAGGCGGGGCAAATGCTTGCATGTTTTGGCCAAATAAACTGAATGAATTTAAATAGATCCGCTAGCCAGCCAACAAAAAATGGCAGACAAGTAATAAACCCAAAGAGAATGCGGCAACTGATATACGGAGCAGTAAAGGACAATATTTATGCATGTGTGTGTGTGTGTGGAAAATCAAGACACAAACTGCAAAATGCCTCCAAAGCAAAATGTAGCCAAGCAAAAAGGGAACAAATTGTTTTGCAGCCGAATGGCATGCCAAGAGCAACAAAAACAACAATAAGCATGAGAGAGAAAGAGAGAGAGATAGTGAGAGAGAGAAGAGAAAGAAGCAGCACAAGTACACAGCGAGTAGACACGGAAAAAGAGGCGGAACTGTCGCCGTCGCAAAAATAATAATAAAATCTACAAATAGATTTTAAGCAATTTCACTTGTGAGCGAACGCAATAAAAATCAAGAATATTTGCCATGAGTTTTGCGGCAAAAAGGAAGCCACTTACACACACACACACACACACACACAGATAGAGAGGGAGCAGGAGGCCTCGTCGAACGGAAGAGTAAATCGGCGGCGTCGATGGCGTCTGCTGATAAAGCGCAGCCATTGAAAGGCGCACCAAGGATAACAGCAGCAAGAAAGAAAGCGTAGAAAGCAGAAAGCGATTAAACTACATTTGTTTTGGCTTCTCGCTCCGCTCGCTCTCCCTCCCTCACTCCCTCTCGCTATTGCTGGCTGTTGTGGCACGCCTTTTCAATACATGTGCATGCAAAAAGGTTGCAGGATCTCTCAATAGAGTCACGACTATTTACACGCCAGCCACCAACTCACTTGCTGTATGTGTGTGTGTGTGTTTGTGGCAAATGGGAAATTGAATTTCATGCAGAGCAAAAACAAACCCAATCGAAAAAAAAAATATATATATGTATACAAGTATATGTATATATATATAATAAAATCATGCCATGGGAAATTTACGCCGCCCAACGTCGAAAAGTTTAGTGGAGCATCCTCGTCTTAGTGTCGCACGTGCGCGCTGTCGAAATGAAAATCGAAAGCAATAAAAAAAGTGAAATAAAATAAGCGCTCGGGCACAGCACGGCGTATACGTAATGCGCCAGGCTTGACAATCAGCTTGGCCAAATGTTGAGCGGAATAACAGAATAGCGGCACAGAAAGTGATGCATACTTATTGGGGCATGCAACCGCTCCCACAGAGGCACTAAAACGCCAATTTCGTTGCCGTCACAGAAACGAAAATCAAGTGAAAATATCAAGCATACATGAGAAGCCAACTGCAGGCATTTTACAATTTGTTTACATTTTATTTCTCATTTTTTTCCCTCTGCTTACCTCAACAATGAAATGCTGAAAATCATGCAGGTAACCAACAATATATAATATATATATATATACATATATAATATATATAATAAGCAAACAAATAAGCAGCTGAAGACGCATCAAAAGGTTTAGAAAGTAAAGTAGCTTTCAGACTTGCAATATGAGTGAATATATGAGCTCCTTCTGCCGGTAGCAGGCAGCGGAGCTGACATCCATATTGCGAGTCCTGAATGCGTCCTGTCTGCAATCAGAGACGACGCCACTTGCGGAATGTCACAAAAAGTCAACAGATTTTATTTAGAATTGAAATTTTTGCGTCACTTGGGCAGATTATAAAGAAGAGCTCTATGGAGCAGAGAGCTATAGACTAGAGCTGAGAGCTCAACTATATAATATGAGAGCTCAAATTAGTAATAAATTTATTCTTTAGTGCACCATCAAATGAAACTTATTTGATTTAGCCGTAGGAATTACAATAAATTGCCTAAAGAAATACATAAAACTCAGCTCAATTCATTTGATGGCGGATATTAAAGTGCGTAGTTGCTTTATTATGGCTTTTTAATGAACTGTAGCGTAAACATTGTCGAACCACTTGGAGCTTGGGAAACGTCTGCTGGGAGCTGCTGCTTAGCCCCGGCCAGCCGCAGACAGAGACAGAGACAGAGATAGAGACAGAGAGACAGAGCTAGAGCCGGCCGTGACAACTGTTTGTTGGACAACAATCGCTGTCAAATTGGGGGTGCGAGCTGCTTGGCTGGCTATGGCTAGGTGAAAGCCAAATGCCATTCGAATGGCTCACAAAATTTGCATTTTTAATTCGGCTTTTTGCCAGTTTTGCATAATGCCGCCGTCGACGCGACGTGTGTCAGTTGTTGTGGCTGCTGATGTCAGCTGCCAGTTGCGAGTTGCTCCGTTTGCCCGTTTTGCCAGTTTGCCCGTTTTGCCAGCTGCAAAGGGTCCGCAGAACTTTGTTAGAGTAAGCCCTGAGAATAGCAAAATTGGCTTGTCAGTTAGCATTTGTCGCTGTCTCAGCTCTCAACTTTGCCCCACAGCAAGAGGAAGACAGAAACAGAGAGAGAGAGAGAGGAGGGGGGAGTAGTATGCCCGCTCCCCCACCCCCTGTCAAGTTCGTGTCGTTCAAGTTGCGACTGAATTAATATACAATTGCATAGCTGAAGGCGCATTTAAATAAACAAACTAAACACGTAGCGGGTGAAGGGTGCGGAGGGAGGCGGGCAGGGAGTGGCTTACCCAGCAAGAAGTTGCGAAGGGGCAACTTTTGTCGCATTCATAAATATTCATAAATAAGCACTAAGTAAAACATATTTTCTGTTTGATAGCCAGGGCCAAGTTTTGTTTACAGCTCGCGGCCCAACAAATGGCAGTCAATTTTTGTCAAAACTGTCGCCTAGATAAAACTCATTAAAGCCCGACTGCCAAAGTACGATATGAGCGGAACAGGACGAAACAGACGAGGAAGAAAAAATTTGGAAAATTCACTCGAAAAAAGAAAGAAAATAACAACAAGGCAAATACTTTGCGCTTCATTACAAGTCACTTCCGTTTCCTCCTCCTGCTGCTGCTGCTCCTCCTCCTCCTCCTCCTGCTCCTGCTCATGCTTTTGTTGCTGTTAATGAAGGCGCAAACCCCGATCTGATCTCTATCGAAAGTTTTCGGCTTTGATGATGTGGCCCACCACTGCCAGCCACGCCCACTCGAACGCCGCATGTGGGCGTTGCAGGCACAGCTGTGCCCGAGCAACAACTAAATTAAAATTTACAGCACTTAAAATGAAAACGTGCCAGTTTTATTAAATACATTTTCTGTTGCTCGACTAGAAAGAGCTAACAAAAGAAAGACAGAGAGAGAGAGAGAGAGAGAGAGAGAGAGAGAGAGAGCGAGAGAGTGGGAAATGGGAAAAACTGTGAAATGGAAAAGCTTGTTGTAATAACGAATTTTCTCGCTTGCTCAGTTGCTGCTGCAACAGTTGCTGTTGTTGCTGTTGTTGTTGTTGTTGTTCTTTGGAAATAAATTAGACATTTAATGATGACCGCAGGCTGTTTGCTGATTGCTCCACAGCTGAGCCGAAACTAGACTCTAGCCGAGATTTATTTAATTTAATTGAAGTATTTATTGAAGGCTGCGTCCCTAAGCTGAGCGAAAATGAGGCTAAGGACTTAAAGCAGCTGCCGAAATGGAAAGCAGCTGAATAAAATATCCTCTTAAGAGCCTTTGCACTAGCAAGGATATACAATAGCTGCACTCTGTATAATCTTATATAAGAAATGCATGCAGAGAGAGAGAGAGAGAGAGATAGCCACCAGGCCGTGGAATGGAAAAATCAAAAATACTTTTTTAAATGCATTTTATTTTAAATGGCTGGAAAGTTTTGCCATCGTCTAAGCTCCGTTCTCACTCATTACTTAACATTTTGGTAATTGAATTAGACAACATAGAAGGCTAAGGAATGTATAAAAGAGGAGGAGAAAGAGGAAGGAAGAACTTTGTGCCTGGTCGTTGCAGGATTACTTTCACTTGAGCGCTTTCAGAGCATTTGACACTTGTCTGCAGCAAGGATATGCAAGTAGCTGCAGCCGGCCATCAGCTGGGGACATCAAACGGCCATTGTCGGCTAATGAAAATTAGAAGCAAACGGCGTCCCTAATGCGCAGCAAAACAGGCAAACCGAGAGAGAGAGAGAGAGAGAGAGCGAGAGAGAGAATGAGAGGCTAGGCAAGACACATTTTGAATATGAATTTCAATTTATACTTGAAGCTCGGCACATGTCTAAGAGTCGCACCCCAAGGACAAAAGTCCCACACACACCCATGGAGAGAGAGAGAGAGAGAGAGAGACAGAGTGAGAGAGAGGGAGAGGGAGAGGGGTGGCAAAGAGAAGGCAGCGCTGTTTTAGGGGTCGTCTGTGCCAACAAATTGCAGCAGTCAACAACCTCCGACAAGTTTAAGGTAATAAGCCCGGCAAAAAGAAAAGTTCCCAAGAAGCTGGCTGAAGAAAACTAAACATTGAGCATGCACACATGTATGTGGGCCTTGTGGGCGCTGTCGGGCAACGTTCTTACAACGTGTATGCATAAGTTATGCTTGGCAAAGTTCATGCAACTGCCACGCACTGCTGCAGGTGCTCGTCGACTGGCTTTAATGTGGCACTTTAATTAAGGCAGCTCGAGGCGGCGGCTGATGTAGCCGTTGCTGCTGCAGTGTCTGCCTCAAATCATATTAAAAGTTTTTTTCTTTTTCACTCAACTGGGGAACGCAGCAAAAGACAAAGAGAGAGCAAAAGAGAGAGAGAGAGAGAGGTAGCAAAAAAGAAGAGAAAAAATTAAGAAACTTTGTGCGCCCGCAAAATGAACTGTACAACTGTGTCTGGATTGTCTTTGTCTTCGTTTGACTGCGTCTCGCATTAACGGCCCAGCATGTCTGCAGGACACCCTCCTAATTATTATGCTATATGCGTGCGGGCGCAGGACTCCGCTGAAGGACACGCCAGTCGAGAGCCGAGCCAAAAAGGAAAATATAATAATAACAATAATAATACGAAGTAGCAGCAACTCGGTTGGAACTCACTTGGCCAGCAGCAGCTAATGTCCCCGCCTCCTGCTTCAACTATTTCTCGATCTGTCTACACAAAAGTATATATTGTATGTATATAAATATATGGGCAGTATTCCCCAGCCATCTACGCATTTTCGATTTCAATGCGACTAAGGCAGCCGGGAGCGTGGGCAGAGCCAGAGATAGAGAACCAGCCATAAATTGGCATTGGCAGCCGCAAAGCAACAACAGCCACAAAATGAAAGATGTAGGCAAGAGGGAAAGAGAGGGAGGATGAGAGGGAGAGAGAACAGAAAAGAAAACTTTTCCTTTCAGGCTGTAGACGCAGCACTTAAGAGCACCACAGCACCACAGCACCACAGCACCACAGCAGCACAGCAGCACAGAGCCGGCGAGCCGGCCAACGGCTCTGGCAGGCAACTTCAAATGCAATTAAGTCCCGGGCCGAGCAAAATCTCTGCCAAAGAGTTGCCTCACGTTGCTAGCGGCCCACAACAATTTCACGCGTTCGCCAGCTCAATAAAAATGGCAAAAGGACTTGAGTTAATGCCACAGCCACAAAATGTTTTTCCCTCTGCTCTCTCTCTCACACACACACACACTCACACGCTTTGGCATTGCATTGTACACTGTGCGGCATTAAAAATGGCATTAAAAATAACAAAATTCGAGAGAGAGAAAAAATTGCAAAAAATACGAGAAATTATTATTTCACATTTAGCACGTAACGCACATAAATCCTTTTAAATAAACGTTTGGCACGTTTTTTGTAATATTTTTGCCAAACGACGCGTTCGCTGTCTCGCTCACTCACTCACTCACTCACTCACTCGCTCTCTCTCACTCGCGCGCTGTCTCGCTGCACGGGCAGCATCCGGACAAGACAGGACAGGACAGGACAGGTTGCCAGGTAGACTGGACCCTTAAGTCTTATCCTTCAGCTTTTTTAATTTCTTTGGTTTCCTTAAAAAATTACTTAAAACAGCGGCCAGACCGGGCGAACTTGGTAAGGACAACGAGCTGGGGATTATCCTGTCACGACTCTCGAGGCACGAGCAGCGCATGCAAATGGGTTACAAACGTTGCTGGGCGTTGAAATTAATCACAGTGCATTATAGCCATGGCCATGGCCAGGCATCAGCATCAGCATCAGCAGCGTCATGGGCGTGGCTGGACAAGGCGTCGCAATTGCTGTGTTCAACTTGTCTCGCTATCCCTATCTCTGCCTTGCACTCTCCCCTCTCCCTCTCCCTCTCCTGCTCTCTAATATTTCTGCATTTTAATTGAACGAGCCGAGTCGCAGCTATTCGGCATTAAGCTTAGCATACTTTTCAGCGCACTTGACAGCGCTCGAGTCGCTGCCTCTAATTGCAGCCGGCGTCTTCGCATTGCAAATCATATGCCAGCTGCTGATGTTGCAAGCTCGTCTTGGCCAGAATCGATGCTGCTGCAGCTGCATTGCAGATGAAGCCTGTGTGGCCTGTGGCCTAACGACTGACACGTGAGAAGTGCTAGACTCAAGACAAACATGCAAACTCGACTTATTTATTATAATACTAGAGCTCTCTCCCTCCCTCTCTCTCTCTCTCTATCTCTTTGGTTGACTGTCTGCTGGCGTGTGATTTATTTGGCGAGCTGCAGCAACTGAGCTTAATTCTGCCTTGGCCAAAATCACTTGGCTGCCGCCTTTGGCCGTTGCCATTGCACCACTGTCTGTAGGTGCCACCGCGTCGCACGCGATAAGGCCGTCGCACACTTGAGGGCGGCAACCGCAAAAATGGAGAAAATGCAGGAAAAACGAAGAAGGAAAAGGAAAGCAAATATAAAGAAAATACAGCAAAGCGCTGGAAAAACTGAAAGCAATGCACAAGGAAATGCAAAAAATGACACGATATCGTTAAGAGCTTCGCTTCTAACAAGCGCGTGCCCAGGCAACGGAAATGCCACGGCCCCTGTTGCCAGTTGCAAGTTGCAAGTGGAATGTGGCAAGTGGAAAGCGGCAAGTGGCAAGTGGCAAGTGGTAGGCAACTGAATGCGGCGCGGCAAGTGTCGCCCGGCGATAAGCACCACGGGCACGCCCACACTTTTAGATCCAGCCCCCCCCTCCTCCTCCCTTCACCCCACCAAGCAAATGATATGCAAATGTGTGAAAAGCCAAAGGACAACTACGTGGCACAGCAGCGACTAGGGGGCTGGGCAGTAGGCGTGAGCCTGATCGCCTGGACTTGACGCCGGTAAGCGATATGCCACAAGTTTTGCCAGTTGCAACCCTTCTGCCTTCTGCCGCACACAGGTAGACCGAGCAGGCGGATAGGCAGGTGGTTGGCGATGTAAACAAATGAATGCTTTGCAGCAGTTGCATGATTTATGCCTCCGTTTTTCGGTGGCTTCTGCTGCGCCTCCTTCGTGGCTTTAGCTTTAAGTGCCTGCCAGCCATTTAAATTTATGAATTCGCTGTCTGCCACGGCGCGCTGCACGAAAATCAATAAGTGCCAGCACGTTTATCGATGTGGCGAGTGAAGTGTCTACTAGAGATGACAGCGATACGACAGGGATCAGCACCGGATATATATGCATATTGATAGCTTTCTGTACATGTGTGTGTGTGTGGTTGTATTTATAATATATGAAGGGACTTATGGCTATGCAGTTGCTCAATGTAGTCTCTCGACACGATGCGACGCATAAATTTCAATTTTCAATAAACCGCTTGTAAAAAATGCGGGTAATTTGCGTTTTTTATACGCACACACATACACACACAAACACATACGCACGCACACACACACACACACGGCCACAAATATGTTCTGCAGGGGCTTTACTCATGCATAGACATAAAGGCTGCATTGGCATGCCATATGTATATGTGTGTGTGTGTGTGTGTGTGTGCATGTGAATATGTATTTGTGTGTGCTTTTTATGTGGTCGCTTTTAAATGGGTCTACTTGAAGTGCTAAAAAAAAATAAAAATTGTCATATGAAAAATGCATAATAAATGTGCTTGATTGCCGAACCAAGAGCTCAGAGTGTGAGTGAGTGTGTGTGTGTGTGTGTGTGTGTGTATGTGTGGGCGACTCTGTGGCCATGTGAAAATACATGGCCCTTAGTTTTTGGTTTTTATTGAGCATTGGCTGATTGATTTCTTGCTACTGCCATTGCCGGGGCGTTGACCGAGGGGGCGTGGCGCCCGAAACTAAACATCTAAAGCGACAGTAGCCGAAATGAAATAGTTTGCAAAAAGCATGCAAACTGTAAAACGCAGCCATCAAATGTCGACATATGCATAAATCGAACCGAACGAAATAAAAACCAACTGTAAATTGCTTTTCGACCATGGCAAAGGAAATGTGCGAATTGCAGATGGCACAAAGGACTACTACTAGTGATAGCTATTGCTATTTTACCCGGTTTCTATTAAGCTATCAAGCATCACTTTAATAACTTGAGTCAACTGCATTCAAATTAAAAGCAAAAATATGAAGCAAAATTTTTTGTATTTTTTTGTATATTTATTTATTTTTTTTTTTGCCAGCTTAGCTCGACTGTTTACACATTTAATTAATTTCCGTGTCAGGTGTGTTTATTTTTGGTTATGTTTAATCTATGATGAAGTGGCTCAGCGCGTTAATCAGGCCTTTTACATGGGGCTGCGGCTAAACCAACAAACAAACAAAATATTTGCCAAATGCGCTGAAAACAATGTTTATGCGTATAATTCATGACGTGCGCGTATTAAATATTTAATGTGCTTCTAATTGTGCGGCAAAGTCAACACACACACCAGCACACACACACACATATACACTAATGCACACGCATTGTGTGCATCTATAAATGGTGTGCGTAAATTATGCAGTTGGCAACATTTGTCAACTGATTTATTGTTTTAAAATTAAAATTTCATCAGTGCTTAGCTAAATTTTGGCTAAGTGCACAGATGGCAAAAAAAAAAGAGGCAAAGAGAGGGAGAGAGAGAGAGAGAGGGGGGGAGGGGGGAAGTAGGAGTGTTGGCATATGCATTTAATTGCATTTAAAACTAATTAAAATTGTAGACAAGCACTTACGCCAAATTGCAATTGTTGTTGTTGTTGCTGTTGCTGTTGCTGTGTAGTACAGTGTAATAAGCTTACCTGCAATTAGAAGAACAAACAGGAAAACAAAATTAAATGATTAGTTTGTAGTTGTGAGCTTGTTAGCGGCAACACTGCGCACCACTGTGCACCACTGCTTCACCACTGCGTCACCACTGCACCACAGCAGTGGCATGCCAGCCTGCGAGCCACTTTGTGCCCCTAAGGGGCCGGCACAGAGCTGTCAACGCGCTCGCCTGGCAGTTTCTCACATGTCGCAGGTAATTTGTTGCTCATGACTAATGCACAATGGGCCGAGATTGGACAAGTTGGCTTGGACTGTGTCCACTCTAGCTAAAGACTCGCACAAAAAAAAAAAAAAAAAAGCAAAAAGGAAAAGGAAAAAGACAGAATACAGCAACAACAAACAAACAAACAACAATATATCTCATGGCACGTCAACAAAGTCCCAAAGGCAACGCTTACACTCACACATAAACATTTACACTCACATACACACACATAGACAAGCCAAAAATGGCAGACAACGAGCAATTGATTGTTGTTGTTGTTGCTGTTGCTGCTGTTGCTGTTGCATCTTTCAATTGAACCCTTTTTTCCGTACAATTCATTTTCGTTGCGTCTATAAAAACAGAGAACTGAAGGCAGGAAAATTGAAATGACATAAAATGAAAATTCCACTACGTGCGCACAATATAACCCAACGTCCATGGGGGATCATCAGCAGCTGGCCGCCCCTCTGGACAGGCGAGCACAATAAATGAACACGCAGAAGAACAAAGCGAACTTCAAGATACCGAATATTAAATACCCTCAAGTTGATGTATAGATGTAGCTTTATATGATATATCATGCAATAAGATGAACTCTATATGATATATACGGACTTTTCATCATCGTATATGAATATTTGTTACCACTCTATATAAATAATTTCAGAAAAAGTTTTATATTATTATATATTATATAAGTTAAAAGTTATATCCATATACATATTTCAGAGTAGCATTTTTCTATAAGATAATTCCTCTACACTCTCAACGACTACTCTCATTAGATCCTTGCTACCTTCACTAGACCTATGGAATCTTTTCCCTCTATCAGATGTCACATGCCAAATTTCACGTACCCTGTTCAGGAGCATGGATTTAACGCCCATTGTTGGCTCATACAAAATGCTTCAGCAGCACCTGTCCCGCTCTCCTCATCTCTGCTAAGTAATCGAGCACCATCCTTGCCTGGCTCTTTGGCCTCCCATTTTGCTTACTCATCGCTCACAAATAATCAAGTGAGGGCAGCAAGCAAAAATGTCACAAATCGTGCGCCCCATCCTCAGCTCCACACGGCCTGTGCCTTCCATTTAGCGCCCGCACGCCAATTACAATGACAATGAGTAATTATTTGCGCAAAGATCAGAGCTGGGCTGGAGTCAGGGCCAGGGATTTGGCCAAAAGGAATTTTAATAGCAGCTGCAGCTGTTGCAGCAGCAGCAGCAGGAGCGGCAGCAATGGCAGCAATGGCAGCAACGGCAGCAGCAGGAGGCGCCACAAATTGCTGTCAAATTAATTTTTACTCCCATCTTAATTTGAATGCATAAAATCATTGGGGGATAAGCAGAAGAAGAAGAAGACGTCCATTTGCATCGGCAAACGCTTTTGTTTTGCAAATTTCCCAAATTGACAACCTCTTTTTCTTCAGCTTCTTCTTCTTCTCCTTCGCCTCTCCTCTCGATTCTCAGTGGGCATTTCCCTAGGTGTTAAATGGGCTTATGCAAATGCCCGACGATTAACAATGGCGCGCATTAATTACATTTTCCAAATGAAAAATTGATGGCTGCATTCGCCAGCTGCCCCCCGTTTTAATTACCAAAAGAATTTCGCACATATGCACAAATTAATGCGAACTGCGAACAGCTATGCTGTGATAATGATAATGATGCCAGCGGCTGCTGAACAATGGTCGGACAATTGCAACGAATATTGGCATTAGAGCACGTTCTATATAGAACATATTTGGAAGCGAACACGGCCCGGCCAACCCCCAATTGTTCCGTGCATTGGTCACTAATCCCGTTGACAATTCGAACATTAAGTGGGCGACAAGGTCTGACATTATATCAATTACTCAATGGCAACCACCAACTGAAATTGAGCATTGCATTTGATGTAATCATTTTTGACGCACTCGCATATTCCGATTGATGATCTCTGTGTGCGTGTGCGTGTGCGTGTGTGTGTAGGTGTCTATGTGACAGATGTACGCTACAAATTGCCATTCATATGGTGCGCGCACTTGCCACGCCCACGCTCTCGTACAACCCCCAACTGCAGTTGTGATTTAATTTGCTGCCGCATGTGCGACAATTTCGGAACCCCTGGGAAATATTATATAAAGGCCAATTGGACGCTCATCAAACTGCACAATGTACAGGGTATTTATCGCAGCTGCAAATCGCCGATGAATAGCAGCGCGTCGAATGAGCAACTTCAACAAGAATATTTCAATTAAGTAGATGATAAACTAGGAAGTCTTCGGTAAGACTTTTTCTATGATTTTTAACACAAAATATTGCATGAAAAAAATTTGAAATATGTAATGTATAATGTATGTCTAAAACGTATGCATTATATATGAATTATATTTGATTTATAAAGTTCAAGTATTGGATTCTAAAAACCCAGAGGAAAGTAAATTTCCAGAATCGCAATAAATCGAGTTCTTGGATTGTTAACAAAAATATAATATAATATAGTATGTAATTAAGTTATGAAAAATAAATTTTCGAAATCGATACACAAATTATCGATTTATGTACAAATGAAAGACAAATCGAGCTGAGCTTATACTTTTTAAAATTTTAGGACTATTAAAGAAAGTTTCCACTAATGCTACCAATATTGTAAAAATTCTTATTGTATTATATAATAGGTATATAATATGTTTTAGAAAATAGCCTACCCCAAAGAACTTCCAGTTCGATATTA